CTAATAATGAGTACACGAACGCGCTACGTGGAGATGACATGTGAACTGGTTCGATGAACAATAAAAATCAGTAAATGAGGCAATAATGTTAATCAGTTGATATGCATGGTTGCACCGTACAGTCTCATTTCCATTAAAATGGGTCTACGGTTCTCTACACTCACAATACGAAACACAGCAGTATTAAGCTGCTCTTTTACACTAGAATTCTGTGAGAGCGTGGTCTTTCCCCATTCAAGCCCACCCATTAGTGCTGCAATCATAATATAGCTGCTGCCTTTTGAATGAAATAAAGCATATTACAATCAAAATATTTTATTCCTCAACATACAGGTTTTTCTTAACCGCCGAGAACGTAAGAAGTCAGAAATTAATACTGCCATTAACAATATATTGCGGGGATCAAGTTTTCTTAATTTTACGATACGCGAGTAAAAAATTGATCAAGTTACTCACGAATTGTGAAATTACGGTGACATTTAGTCTCTGAGCTACTACTTTAATTGCTCCATAATTCTTTTAACCGAGAGTTGTTACCAGCTGTGGGATGTATATAGGCTATAACTTTACTTTATATAAAAGGAACATAGTTTCTCTGATCCAGTGCCTGACTGACTTGACATATCATTGATATATTATTTTTCTTTAGATATACAGGTTTCCTCACAATAGTTTACTTTACCGCCGAATACGTCGTCAAATCAAAAGTTGCTCGCTTACTGTGGAATAACAGCACACAGTACATGTGGTGATAAGTGAAGGCTGTGGCCCGTAGCATTCTACACCTTTCCTCGATATGAATCAAATTCATTGTTACCTCTAATGTCTAAGATGAAATGCCTAGTTACCGTTGCAAAAAATTAACCAGTTCTTTGCACTCACCATACGAAATAAAGCAGCATTAAGCTGCTAATTTACGCTAATATGCCCTGTGTCAGGCGTGTTGTTTCCCCGGTCGAGCCATTCATGCTTCAACTATGATATAGCTGGAGCGTAGTTCTAATACGTTTATTAAATTATTTATACTTAACATTAAGGTTGAACAGAAACTTAGTAAGTAACCTGATATGGAAATCGTCGCAAGTCTGCCATTCGGTGCATCAGCTGTCGCGGTTATGCCGCTATTAACACCGCTCCACGTTGTTGTCTATTAAAACTTTTTCCCATTATACGGAAATTACTTCATCAATGCCCGCGTGACTAGTGCTTTATTCTTTTGAAACTGTTAAATAACTATTATCGGCTTTTATAACCCAATTATTATCCTTATATTAGTTCCTTATACTTCTAAAATAAGTATTACCCTTTTCTAATACTAGGTGGTGTAAAGTTCAATATCTTACTTTCATTCTTAGGTTCTATATTCAAATTAATGTCATGTTAATAATGATATTACCAGATTATATCAATTATTATTTTTAGCAAGACTTCTTAGTAAAGACTACTTTAGTAAATCAACTTTAACACTAACTTTTTCCAAGTTCTTTTCAAGTAAAAGTGGTTAAACCAATATTCGCCTAAAACTTTAACGCAATATATCTTTATAAATATATTTAAAAAAATACATACACAACTCAAATTTATAATAAGTGAATTTGTCACATGACACTTTAAGCCCCCTTAGACTGACATCAAGTCATTGTTAAAGGCACGGGCATTAAAGTATAAATTATAATTGTTATTGTTAATATTCCTCAAAGAAATATTTTAATAATCAGTTACTAGAGAAAATCCAATACTATAAATTCAATCTAGAGGACATCACTTAGTGAAAATGGCAAACATGATTGAGAAAAAAATTCGAGAAAGTGGCCATTATTTAAAAAGTACAAAGACCCACATAATACACTTAAGAAAACATAAACTTTTATGTTTTTCTTTAGTGAATTATAATATTACTGGTGGTGATATAGTCATGCTAAAGCTATATTATAGTTAAAGTACAAATGCATCGGTTCAGTCGTGGTAAGACCACTTTCTCACAAAATACCAGCGTAAAATAGCAGTTTTAAGCTGCTGTGATTAGTATGGTGAGTGTAGAGAACCTTACACTCTTTTTACTAGTAACAAGGCATTCCATTTTACACTTCAGAGACGAATCTGCATTATGGTTATTAAAAATAATGACGACGGATGTAGATGTCTATAAGCCACAGCATTCACCATCAGGTGGACAGTCCACAGTCAGTGTTCGTTTGTTACCCTATTATACTATATTATGTAAATAAAATAGAATTTTAGCGATAAACTTCACTTTAAATCACAAAGTTTAGTTTGTAACTTATCTGAGCGCCGAAACTCTAAATAAATAAACAAAAAAGCTCCTATTAAGAAAATACGCTTCTTAACTTTATCGCATTCTTGAAATCTTTAAATGAAAATTTAGTCCAAAAGCACCGTGTGCTGAATTACTTAACGAACTTGGTCTAAGAAATACTTTATTTCTACGTTTATAAATTAAAAAGGGCAAAGAGAGAAAATAATGGTATTGAGTAAGTAGCTCCGTAATTTTTAATCTTTTGGATTTTTTTTAAACATTAAAGAGAGGTAACGTAAACCTGATTTCTTATCAGAAGGCAAGCGTGAACGTAATTCAGTTGTGGGTTTACTAGCGTGGTAGCTCGGTGAGAGTTATATGTGTTAACACCTAGCCACCAAACTCAACCGTAGTATTCCATACTCCTACGTTATATTTTAAATGACAGAATACTAATATAGGATAGGATAAAGAATTATATGACTACGAGTGAAGTAATGTTATTCGAGATAAAAACTAACTTTTACTGACAACAATTTACAAGAATAAAATTAACTTCGCGTACAAGATAAGTTAATCGAGATGAGAGGCGCGCGCGTGTTGTTCCTGAGCTAGCTGCCGGCGGAATGCACGGTGTCACGTTGGTCCAGCCCGCGCTCTGACGAAGGTGAGGTGAGTCTCATATCTAGGTCACACCATTGTTTCGTTCCGGTGGCGCGATGTTCGAGCGTGGCTCAAGCTTCATAAGCGTAGCGGATTTATGTGGGGTCCAACAGAAGCAAGTTACGCCACACAGTGATAAAAAAAAGATTTGACTAAAAGTCCACTGCATTGCAATCTCCTAGGCACTGAAAACGGTTTGTAACTCGACCTGAATGGTTTCGGAACTTTGGGTAAGTACACGAGGGAGACGGAGCGTTGTCTTTATTAGACGAGACCTCTCCAACTTAACGTTTAGGTTCAGTGTGCCTCTAACCATTCAGTGATCGCTGCCGATTTTCACCCTCGCGATTACTGAGACATCACTGAACAGTTGTCGTCTAGTTATCACAATGAAGTCAGTCTCAATTTTTGTCGAACCGTCGTAATCTTTATTAGTAATAAAGATTACATAATTGATAATAATCAGTACGAATCAGGTGGTCGCGTCAGTCGGTGGGCAAATTACGACACAACTCCCCGTCAAGCAATCCTTAAATTGGAAAACAAGAGAGTTCAACCAGCGCGTGTTGTAAGCGATGACATACTTGGATCTTAAACGTGGTCTTTCGTTGCTGACCGTATGAGGAAACTAAAGGTCACTTTGCGAGCTATGGAGAGGGCTTTCTATACTCGTAGTTTTTTTAACGCGATTGAAAACCTATTAAAGATATCCGAAGTGGAACCAAGATAACGGTCATAGACCAACGGATATGAAAGCAGAAATTGCTTGAAATTCTATTAAAAACCAACTTTTCTAGGACTTCCATTCTGCCTAGGAATCCGTCTAGGTTAGAACTACTTTTATAAATATTTTATATCAAGCAACGGTAAAGCTGGTGTATTATAAAGAGTAAGTGAACCTAGATTATCACAGACCGTCTTTCTCTGTGCTTGTAGTTGGTTGGTATCTATTCCCTTGTTTCTGGACTGCTTTATCGTTGATTATTATCTTTTTTTACCCGAATGTCCTAGAAGTATGTTAAAATATGTTTAATTATATCCAAATAATGTCTACTTCATACTAACGCCATCTAGTGGATAAAATATGTACTAGGCTAATAATGTACCACAGCTAATTATAGAGCAAAAAAGTTTGTCTATTCTCAACCTGCAACTCATTCGTTTTTATTAGGTTATGGGCCCAGTGAAAAACTAATTAAATAATTTTTTACAGTAAATTCATATCGTGTGTCAGAAAACAAGTTATAATGTCGTCGTCAGGCGGTTATTTAATAAATGTGCCAAAGTTGAAGGGACGCGAGAACTTTGATGACTGGGCGTTCGCGGCAAGAAATTTTCTCATATTGGAAGGTATAGACATCGACGCCATTCCTGAGGATTTAAGTGATGTTGAAGACAGAAAAGCGAAAGCAAAACTCATCATGACGATTGATCCGAAGTTGTATGTTCATATAAAAACTGAAACTAAAGTTAAGGATTTATGGCAGAAACTACGGAGATTATTTGATGACAGCGGATTCACCAGAAAAATCAGTTTACTAAGAACATTAATATCTATTCGACTTGATAAAATGTGAGTCCATGACAAATTACGTGAGTCAAATTGTTGAAACTGCACAAAGACTGAAAGGCACAGGATTCGAGATTAATGAGGAATGGATTGGATCATTGCTGTTGGCGGGACTACCAGAAAAGTTTGTCCCAATGATCATGGCAATAGAACATTCCGGCATAGCCATAAACTCTGATGTCATCAAAACGAAATTGCTAGATATGAGTTCTGAAGTCGGTAACCATGACTCGGAAGTAGCATTATTGTCGAAGCATAAAAGTAAGTTCGGTCAAAATTTGAATACAAAAGGCGGGAAACAAACGTCAAATTATACGTCAAATGTCAAGAAGGTTATAAAATGCTATAGGTGCAGAAAAATTGGCCACTTTAAAAACCAGTGTCCTGAAGTAAAAGAAAAGCAAGTTAACTAATTTAGTGCTGCATTTTTTTAATAGTGAATTTAATAAGGATGATTGGTATATTGACTCGGGGGCTAGTACTCATATGACATCATGCAGAGAAAATTTAATGGAAGTGAGAAAAGTACACGATATGAAGAAAATTATTGTTGCAAATAATATGACTGTGCCAGTTGTGTGTGCCGGGAATACACAGATAACTACGCTTGTGAATAATTCTCAGTTTGACATTAAAGTGAACAACATTTTGTACATACCTAACCTAACCACAAACTTATTATCAGTAAGCCAGCTAATAGCAAAAGGAAACAAAGTTACTTTCAAGACTGATGTGTGTTATATACATAATCAACGGAATGAGCTTATTGCAACAGCAAATTTAAAGAATGGTGTGTATAAGTTGAATACAGTAAAGTCAGAGAAAGTGTTGGCCGCAGCAGTTCAAACTACAGATGCAAAACAGTGGCATAGGAGATTGGGTCATATTAACAGTAATGATTTGCAGAAGATGAAAAATGGTGCTGTAGAGGGTATATCATTTGATATGAAGGCTGATATTCAGAAAATAAACTGCCAGGTATGTTGTGAAGGGAAACAGAGTCGTTTACCATTTCAATTACGAAACCATAGAAGTTCAGTAAATGCTAGATTTAGTTCACTCAGATCTGTGTGGGCCTATGGAGGTTCGATCGATTGGACAGGCAAGATATTTTCTATTGTTTGTTGATGATGCCAGCAAGATGGCATTTGTATATTTTCTGAAGGAGAAGTATCAGACTCTACAGTATTTCAAGGAATTTCAAAGAATGGTTGAGAAGCAAAAAGGAACAGGAATAAAAACATTGAGAACTGACAATGGAGGGGAGTTTTGCTCAGATATGATGGAAAATTATCTGAAAGATAGTGGAATCATCCATCAGAAGACAAACCCATATACTCCGGAGCAGAATGGTGTCAATAAAGATTCAACAGGACAATTGTTGAACGTGCAAGATGTTTGTTGTTCGAGGCCAAACTGTATAAAAGTTTTTGGGCAGAAGCAGTCAACACGGCAGTATATTTAAAAAATAGATCGCCAGCTTCAGGTTTGGACAAAAAGACTGCGATTGAGATATGGACAGGACATAAACCTGACCTCAGTCATGTCAGAATATTTGGGAGCCCTGTAAAGACGCATATTCCTAAAAATAAAAGATTAAAGTGGGACAAGAAAGCAGTTAAATACATCTTAGTAGGATACTCGGAAAATGTGAAAGGTTACCGATTATATAACCCAGAAACTAGAAAGATATGTACCAGTAGAGATGTCATTATAATGGAGCAAGATACTACTGAGATAGAAATAAACGAAGGACAGTTGAAAGAACAGCAATCAGTAGAACAGGAAAGTTCTATGATAGAAAGTGACAATACATTGACAAATCAGGATGATCCTACCTATGTATATGATTCAGAAAAAAGTACAAGTTTAACTGAAGGAGAGTTCTATCATACAATAACTGAAGAAGAAGATCTATCTGAAAATGAAGAGCCTCCGTTGGTGGGAAAGCGTATCAAAAAACCTCCTGAAAGATATGGTTTTACTAATCTTTGTGTTTCAGATGAACCAGAATCTTGGGCTGAAGACATAAGCTATAATGAAGCCACCAACGGTCCAGAGAAAAACAAGTGGCAGCAGGCTATTTCTGATGAACTTCAAGCATTTGAGGATAACCAAGCCTGGGAGATTGTTAGTCAAGAAGAGGCAGATAGAGTAGTACAGTGCAAATGGGTGTTCAAGAAAAAGCCAGAAAACAATTTCTTTCACATAATCTTAGAAACAAAAACAAACTTCAAATTTGGCAGCCTCGGACGAGATCTTATGGCAATAAAAATATTATGTGTGAGGGTGTACTTTTGTATAATAATCTACCGGATACTATAAAAGATTGTAATAATATTAAGCATTTTAAGAATAAACTAAAATCATATATTGTAGATAAAATTTCATAACTGCATATCTTCAATTTTGATCATATCTGTAATTGCATTAATACAATATTCATATTTTTTAAAACATTACGATATAATACATACATATGTTTGCATTAAGTAAGAAAAAGAATAACAAATTAATTAAGGATATACATACAAGAATAAAACATAATAGAATTATATAATGCATGCTACCGTGTAAATACTGGTAATATTATTTTGTATGTATACTTAATCTCTGTAAAAGTGAACAATGTGTTCTTTAAGAGAAATAAATGTCTTTAACCCGAAACAATAACAGTGTCAGGTATAGAGCAAGACTTGTGGCGAAAGGTTACACTCAACAGCATGGAGTAGATTTTAATGAGACCTACTCACCCGTTCTCAGGTATATCTGCAATTCCCCTGGTGTTGCGGTTGTTCATGGGCGGCGGTAGTCACTTACCATCAGGTGAGCCGCATGCTCGTTTGCCCCCTCTCCTATAAAAAAAAAACTTAGATTATTGTTTGCAATAAGTGTAAAATATAATTTTGAAATCACTTATCTTGATGTAGTTACAGCATTTTTGAATGGTTTTTTAACAGAAAATGTATACATGCAAGCACCTGCTAATTTAAATTGTCCAAGTAATTGTGTTCTTAAACTTAAAAAAGCAGTTTATGGACTGAAGCAGTCTGCTAGGGCATGGAATGCTAGAATAAATGATTTTTTGATAGATTTGGATTATAAAAAGTCAGTATCAGAACCATGTTTATACAGTAAAATATGTAAGAATGAGCAGATTATCATTGCAATATTTGTTGATGATTTCTTTATGTTTTCTAATAGTAAGACTATGACTAATGATCTGAAGAAAAAACTTATGTCAAAATTTAAAATTAAAGATTTAGGTCAAATAAAAAGGTTTAGGCATGAGAGTGAAATATGAAAATAACTGTATATCTATTGATCAGGAACAATTTGTAAAACAAATTCTTAAAAAGTTTTATATGACTGATTGTAATACTAAAGATACTCCAATGGAATGTAATTTGAAATTAGAAAAGGCAGAATGTGTTGACAAACAGTTTCTCTATCCACAGCGAATATGTCGACTCCGAGGATACCGATACTGTCTGAGGCAAGAAGGGGAGTGCCTTGAAACTGAGGAGATACGACAAAGGGGTTCTTTTTAGCGGTAAACGTGCAAACTTGTGTCTTCTGAGGATTAAACTGGACTAGATTTAGTCGCCCCCAATCCGAGACTTTGCTCAGCAAAGATTCGACTTCAGACACAAGTTTGTTCCGGTACTCAGCGACGTTTTCCCGAGAAATATTGGCACGGCCGGTGTATAGAGCATCACCAGTGCTGTCATCCGCATAGCAATGAATGTTACCAGTTAGCAACATATCATTGATATGCAGAAGAAACAGCGTTGGTGATAGCACACAGCCTTGTGGAACACCAGCGTTAATAGGCTTGTAGTCAGAGCATGCACCGTCTACAACGACCTTGATGCTCCGATCTGCAAGTAAGCTGGTGATCCAATTGCACAATTTCTCGAGAAGCCCATAGAAAGGGAGCTTCGAAAGAAGGATAGGAATCTTATAGGAAATCTTATGTATTTGTCAGTATTAACACGTCCAGAAGCATGTAAAGAGGCAATATATTTAAAGAATCTGTTATCTGATATTATTGGTTGTAACTATACTGTAATAATTTATAATGAAAACCAGGGAGCCCAGAAGTTGACAGAGAGTCCTTTGTTTCACAAACGAACTAAACATATAGACGTTCCCTACCACTTCATACGCGGAGCAGTCTCTAATAGCCTTGTAAAAATTGAATATCTATCAACATCTGAGATGCCTGCTGATATATTAACGAAAAGTTTAAGTGGTGCCAAACATAACTATTTTATAAAATTATTAGGAATTCAAAATGTTTAAAATTGTCAAAGTTAGTGTCGTTAGTTTTATTATTACTTTGTATTTGATTATTTTGATAAGTGGTGCTGTTAAAATATGTTTAATTATATCAAAATAATGTCTACTTCATACTAACGCCATCTAGTGGATAAAATATGTACTAAGCTAATAATGTACCACAGCTAATTATAGAGCAAAAAAGTTTGTCTATTCTCAACTAATTTATGAGAGTTTGTATGTATGTATGTCATGTATGTCTCAATTCGACTATATTTTTTTATTTATTTTTATGTTTACGGGTCGGAGAGGGACACCCTAGACGAAGGTTTATCGACTAAATCGGCGATACATTGAAAATGGGCAAGATTAGGAGTACCCTTAACCGACGAGCGTGTATGCGTAGATATATGAATGATAATGATAATGATGATAAAGGAGGCAAGAGAGGTGTGTCAGGATCGCGCCAAATGGAAGTCCGTAGTCTCTGCCTACCCCTCTGGGTGACAGGCGTGAGTATTTGTGTGTGTGTTTTTTTGTGTATTTTTATGTGTGTTATCTCAGAACTTTTTTTCAAGGTGAACCTATGTTGATGATTCTTTTTTTATTTGAATTTATTTGGGGCTGCTCATATGGTCCCATATAAATTTGATTAAGGTGGCACAAGTCGCGGGCTCGAACTCGCTGGTGGGCGCGGCCAAAAAGCACGCTGTCTCACCTGGCATCGTGCCCGACAGAGATAGTATCAGTGATGATCATATCGACACTAGTATTCACGCATGTCTTGTTCGTACGGTGTTCCGAACCGTTAGAATGAAAACGAAGTAACGATGCAACATCTATACTAATATAATAAAGCAGAAGAGGGTTTTTGTTTGTTTAAACGTGCTAATCTCTGGAACTACCAGTCAGATTTGAAAAATCTTTTTTTGGATATTATAGCCAGATTCATGTTGAATAATATAGGCTATACAGCATTAGGCTATAAGTATATCTCAGCTAGCCTATATTTGTTAAGGAAGTCTGTTATGGTTCGGGATACGTAAATACAATGTTCTAGAAAAATATAGATCTTTACTCCGTCTAAAAAAAGTCCGCGATAACATATGTCTATTTCTTATATATAAGCCACAATTAGGCATTTTGTGACAAAAAAATGAAAATTTAATTATTAGGCACCTTATGAACCAAAGTTACTTCATTATCAAGACAATTTTATGAAGATAAACTTCGTTCTTTATACCATGTTTATATAGTACATAGTTTAAGAGATAATGTAAAATTAAAATAATTCAATACCTACTTGGCTTGACGCGGAAACAACGCATAACCCCTAGCCCGGTGCGAACTGAGAAGCCAGTATTGAAAGCTTCTATGAGCGAGGTTAGGTTAGTCGTTAGTTCAATCGTTATCTATATCTACACAAATAAATAAAATTGAAGTGTCTGTTTGTAATGTCAAAATAACAGCTTTTTACTAATTGCGTATGAAACTGTATACGATACTTATAACCACAATTTTTAACATTTTTGTATGTCTGTCAGTCTGTTTGTTGCGGTTAATTTCCAAAACGGCTGGACCGACTTTGACGGGACTTTCACTAGTAGATAGCTCATGTTATAAGAAGTAACTTAGCCTGCTTAAATTTTAGAAAAATTATTAGGTGTCTTTGCAACAAAATTAATGCCCTAAACTAAACGCGGACGAAGTCGCGGGGTACAGCTAGTAGCTAAAATAAATTCAAAATTAATTGAGTACTTTTATCTATCTCCCGGGTGAGCGTAGCAATGATTAGTTACATCTTTATTTCTGAACTCTTTCATTTCACGTTGCTATGGTATTTTGAA